AGGGAACATAGGCCCTTACCCGTTTTTAGAAATAGTCCGTGGTTTTCTAATTACTATAGTGGAAATAAAAACTTAGACCAGTAGTTTGCGTTATTACGAAACTATCGAATAGTTTCCGTTATTATCTATGTATCTGTTTTTTTCATGTCAAAATGGAAATTTTTAAAAAAGATAACTTTAACCTTTTTCGGTTGTTGTACATCCAAAAAATGTAGCATTTTTTCATCCGATGTTCTATTATCGATTGTTGAACAACTGAAAATAAGACCTGCAATAATGTTTTGAATAGAATGTGGAAGTCTCACATTGAGTCACATAAGTGGAAGAATAGGGAGGGTAAGCAGATAAATATAGCAACGGAAGGCTATTACCATCTCTTTTCATCTTTATTCTTTCTCTAGAGAGAGAACCCCTTTTCTTTCTTATTGCTCTCATCCATGTGATGATGCGATTTCACAATGCCCATCTTATTGCTCTCATCCGTGCGATGATGCGATGTCACAGCCCTCATCCTCCTCAACACCCATTAGCAAAGGCAAAAAAAAAAAGAGTTCTCTCTCTAGGTCAAGGATAAAGATCAACCATCCTCTTCAACACGCAATAGCAAAGGGAGAAAAAAAGGGGTTCTCTCTTAGGTCAAGGATAAAAAATGAAAAGAGATGCTATGTTTATCTGCTCACCCTCCCTATTCTTCCGCTTTCGTGATTAACGTCAAACCTCCGCATTCTATTCAAAATAATGTTGTACTTTATATTTTCGGTTGTTCAACAACCGAAAATAGAATATAATAAAAAATAGAATGTTATCGGATATTGAACAAGTAAAACTTCTATATTTTCAGATGTTGAATAACCGAAAATCCAGCCATTTCAGTTGTTCAACAATAAAAAAAAGGGTAAAGTTTGTTTGTTTGTTTGTTTTTTTTTAAATTTCCGTTTTGACATGAAAAACCGAAAATCCAACTATTTCGATTATTCAACAATAAAAAAAGGGTAAAGTTTGTCTTTTATTTTTTAATTTCCGTTTTGACATGAAAAAAAACAGACAGATAGGTAATAACAGAAACTATTCGATAGTTTCGTAATAACGCAAACTATAACGGCTATGTATGTAATTTTTCCTTAAAAAAAAAAAGAAAAAGAAAAAATCCATGTTTTCTCGACTACTATTCTGCCTTAATTGCATATTTTGGAGGTTCAAATTCCATAATCACATTAACAATAAATTAGCAAATCACCGCAAGTGGTTTTGCTATTATAGCTTCATTTTTCAGCGGCTCAACTGCACCGATTTTAAAAGGTAGATCAAGGGTAAAATAAGCATTAATATGTATACAACAAAATGAGGTTTTAAAAAAGGAAAATTGTTTTATGAGTCAGCTGGAGCAAGAGCCCGTTGACTTACAAACATTATCATATTCGAGTTTGATTAAGGATGTATGGGATGTAGTGCTTAAGCGTGCGAGTGTGAAGGTAGATACTTGGAAAGCCAAACATATGTCTTTAGGGGGTAGAGTTACTTTGATAAAGTCTTCTCTATCTAACCTTCTTATTTACCTAATGCCTTTGCTTCTTATGTTGGTTGATATCATTAAAAAATTAAAGAGGCTAATGATGAATTTCTTGTGGGGGTCTGATAATGATGTTAAAATATATCATTTGGTTAGCAGGGATAGAGTGTGCACACCCAAATGCGAAAGGGGTTTAAGTATTCGTAAACTGAAATAGTCAATTAGTGTTTAATTGCCAAATGTTCGTGGAGGGCAATGAAGAATGGAAATCATATTTAGATATAAGTGTTGGAATCTAGGTATGGTGTTGATCCTTTGAATAACATCATTGCTAGAGTGCCTAATGGTGATCATCAGTCTTTTGTTTGGAAAGCTATTGCTACTATGAGATCTTTTGTTATCAGGCATTCAATGTAGTCGGTACGAAAATGGGATCCAAATGGGCAATCGAGATCCCATTTAAGTTACTCTACCCAGATCTCTTTCTTAGATCTGATGTGCTCAGCCTATGGCAAAGGTGAGTGGGGTGGGATCAATCAGCGGGCAGTCGATTGTATGGAATGGTGAGTACATTTATAGCTGTTTACCCCACTTTGAAGTGGAATAATATTTGGAGTTGTTTTTGGCTTATTTTTGGTGAAATTTGCATACCATATTCTATTTCATGATCGGGCCTGTTGGAATATGCCCATTCTTAAAGATGTATGGAAACGAAAAATTTCTTATAAAGTCCAAGCTTTTATCTGGATTATAGTGAAATAAAAAGTTTTAATAATTAACAATTTTATGGAAAAGAGGTAAAATCATTGTAAATGTTTCCCTTTAAACGATGAAGAGAACAGTAATCATCGCTTCTTACAATGCCCTTTTGCTTATGCTTTGTGGTGTTGGGCACTTCAAAAAGTTGGGGTCTCTATGGAATGGCCTTCTTCAGTATCTGATATGGTGAATCGGATGAAGTTATGTGGAATCTCGAAAATTGGTATATTTCTAAGAGCACTTACATGGGAGTTGTGGCCAGAGAGGAACAAAAGAACATTTGATTGAGTGGCAGTGGACCTATCAGTCTTGAAAAATAAAATTTTGTTTCGATCTTGGAGTTGGTTTAGTGTAACTAAGGAAGGCTAGGATGTATCCCGGGTAGATGTTGAAAATAACAATGTTGTTTTGAGCTTGGAGTTGGTTTAGTGTAACTAAGGAAGGGTGGGGTGTGTCCCAGGTAGATGTTGAAAATAACACTGCTCATCTGATATCTTTAAGATTTATCAAGGTTAAACCCAGATGTGTATGGGTTCCTACAATGATAGGGTATTTAAAACTGAATTTTGATGGTTCTTCTTTTGAAAATCCAGGGATTGCAGGGGTGGCTGGTGTTTGTAGGGATAAAAGGGGTATGATATTGTTTTGCTACGCTGCACACTTCTCAGCTAATTAGGCAGAAACCGCAACGTTGTTCTAGGGTTTGCTAATATAGAAGGAGAGAAGTTTGGGAAATTATTTGATTATAGAGGGAGATTCTTCTAATGTCATAAATTGGTAAGTAACAACTTGGCTAGACCTCCGTAGCGACTAAGAGCATTATGGCTGCAAGTCATACATATTTTTTTTGGGTGCACTCTTAGCTTTAGTCATGTGTATAGAGAGGCTAACTATATTAGAGACGATTTGGCTAAGAAAAGGGCTTTTCTAGATTCTTTGGTTGTGTCCACTCATCTTTTTTGAGTTTCTGTTATCGTTGTAATTGATCTTTTCAATCAAAAAAATTTGTTACTCCTGTAAAAAGAAAACATCTCTCTACCATATTTCTCATCTTGGCACTGCTTGCTTACTTCATTACGAAGTCTCATAATCCTCCTCATTTCTCAAGCTTCGTTTCCAAACTTTCAATGGTTTGCCTTCGACCGTCATGAGTTTGAAGGAGAGAGTAAAATTGTATATATTTTCTTTCCATATTCCCTTGATCAGGTAGATTGTATTAAAATATTTATTTCCTTTTTTGTATATTATGCAGACTGTACAATATAACCACATGTACATATATGAAATTTTTCTCCCAAATGTGAAATACAAGAAAATAGATATTTCACACAATTTCGAGCTGGCTTGTAAACTATAGGTTACTAATCTGACCCACTGTTCCAATTTTTAGAACTTTACTTTTTAATTATTTCTCAATACATACATAACCAAGGGAAACTACTTTTAGCATTATTTTATTTTCTATTTTTTAAAGAAAAGATTAGTAATTGATCAAACCAACCCAGAACATCAATGAAATGGTCAATTAACTAATTTACGAACAAAAGGGTTTCCTTTTTAAAATCATTTCACTTTTGGTAACTTGCTAATTATTATGCTACAAAATGCCCCATTTATTTGTGTTGTATTTCGGGTAGGGCCCTTAGTACGTGACAGTATTTAAATTTGTGTTTGATCTTAGATTCGATGTTTCAAAATAATTTATTTTTAGGTTTTTTTTTAATACAAATTGTATGAATATGAAATTTGGTACATGCCATCTTCTCATTGAGGTGCACCTATAAAAAATATTTAAAATAATTTTTTGATAAAATATAATGACCAAAATACCCCTTGAATCTTTTAAAGGTATTTTGGTCATTTTATTTTATTGAAAATATTTTTTTATATTTTTTGATAGTACGATAAAATAGTGTAGAGACGTGACATTGTGATTGAAGCAATCTTAGCCCTCCATTCAAAATGGAGAGGGTTGGATAAAAAAACGGATAGAATTTCTATGCGGTAGGGGAGGCCTAGAAAGCTTGCCCCAACAAATAAGGGTATTTAAGTTGTTTAGTTCAAGCCATTTGATGAGTAAAGTAGTATATTTTTAAAAAGGTCACAACTCAACCACCCATAGATATCATATATATAATCCAATTTCTTTGAAGTGGTTTAATAATTTTAATGATATTTTCCTTATTTTCTATTTAAGTTTAGGTGTGGTTTCTATAAGCTTGTAACCTTAAACAATTCAATTAAGACCCACCTCCAAAGTTTATCATAATATGTAATGTTAGCGTAAAAAAGTACTAGGATTATTTCAAAATCTATTTTTATATCTAATTATAAAATTTTAAACTCCAAAAATGATTAAAATCAAGTAGATCTACAAACATATGAAAATCTTGAAAATGGACAGTCTAGATAATATGTTACAAGAAGCATTATTTTTGAGACTCAAAATCTTTTTTTTTTTGTTTTCATATTCACACATTTCAATATCGAGATAATCAATTAGAGGGTTTTTCAACATTAAAACAACATTTTTCGATGGATTTTTGAGGCGCAGATGTAATTCTCCATCCAACCTTATATAAACTTTTTCCTTTTAAGTTTGGCACGTTTCTTTACTTGAACGGATATCTTGCTGACGTTTCTGTACCCATTTCAATGGAGAGAGAAGTACATAAATCAAATCAAAGGGCAGTTCACTTGATAGCTATATCCATTTGAATGAACAAAGAGGGAGAGAGAAAGTATACATAAATCAAATCAATGGACAGTCACGGATATCCGTCAAATGTTCCATGAATTTTAACGAATCAAAACTTTGATATAGTTTTTCTTCAAATTGATGTGTCTTTACACCGAGGAAGATGGGATCCAAAAAACAGATCGAATCCACCTCAATAACAAAACAGTCCATGAAAAGAGAGACAACAGTAGAAAAACAAGTAGAATTAGCCAGAGAAAATCAGCCAATCAACTAGAATTACAATTACTTAATCAATATATGAATACAGGGACCTTCATCTTGAGCAATGAAGGGCCTCTTTTTCATGGAAAGAATCAGAGAGGAGGTTAGAGGCTTCATGGAGGGGAAAGTTTGGGTGTTTGGAATTTGCGGGTCCAAAGAGCAGTTCTAAGCAAAAGGTAGGGCCACATATGGATCTTCCCTTTCGCCCTACTTTGTCCAAATCCCGACGTGAAAACTGCACAGATCATTTTCATGCATGAGGGAGTTCCTTTTCGGGATTATATACCATGAGACCCTTTATCTTTGTTACAAGGTTACAATTGCTCTTAGTCATTATCTCAAGTTGGACGGTTTGGGGTGTGTCGCAAATTTCAAGAAATTGTATTTGAACTTTGAGTCTAGTCATTGACATACTCACAACCACTTGATTTGAAATCTGATGGACAAGAGTGATTGTGACCTCTTTGTGTTAAAAATAAATGGTCTCTTTGTATACTTTTCCTTTTCTCTTTACTTACCTCTGTGTATGAGAGAGAAATCCAAAAATAGACATCGTTTTTAACAGATTTAACACCATTTATAGGAAATTGTTTTTATTAGAACACCATCTATAAGTTGATTTTTGTTTCATGGTTACCTATAAATAATAAGCTAGAATTAAGCTACAAATCAACATGTTTCTACTATGTTCAAATGAGAAATCAAGAAATTGTATTATGGATGAATACCTGTAACAAGCTGCTAGTTATAAAGGCGGTGTGAAAACAGGCATAGAAAAGTCGTCCACCAATAGTTTTTTCATAGAAAACAACCCGCACATCTCCAGCTACCTGTCATAAAGAAACAAATACTTGAAAAGAGGAAAAACTATTACCAAGGAAAAGGAAAAAGGATTATTAAGGTATTAATTCTGCATAATTAAGTACTTAAAATTCCGAGTCTGGTTTAAAATTACAAGGATTTTGGCCATGACTCTCTTCCTCTTCCCCCTCCCCTTCTCCTTCCTCTCCTACGAATTGGGTCTGGTCAACTGGGTCAAGTAGGTTTGGGTCTAGACTAGGAAATTGGACCAAGCGGGTCGGATTGGGGACCACATAGACTTGACTGGATCTAGGTCAGACGTATTGCGATAGGAAGTTTTATATAAATGCATCGCCGTGTTATTGAGTACTTTTCTCCATAAAGAGCCAGAATAGAATAACCAGTCTGGGTCTGAGCCCCAAATCCAATAGGTTAGGTCCTGGTCGAGGCGTGACAAACACCAGTGCGGGCTTGATTCATCCACACCAGACCCGTTTACATCCCTCCTCTCTCTCTCTCTCTCTAAACCACACCAGATCCCTTGCTCACAAACGATCATTCTAAAATTGCTCGAGAGGATGAATGTACATCATTTTCAAACTTTTCCTTGGAAAAATGGGTAGTCAACCCTACTGATGGACAGATAGAGAGAGTGAGAGAGAGAAAGCAAAAAACAGTTTTAGAGCGTTACCTGCAATGGACAATCAAAATAATAGTCAAGACATGTCTTTTTGTAGGGATCCGAGCTTTCGGTGTCCATTTGCACCACAAAGCGCGGTACCTCCTGTTCCTTTACCTTCTCATCACCTTCTTTCTTGACAAAAGAGAGGTAATATCGGGGGCTGCTTGTGTGGTGTTGCCCTTGCTTCATTTGTCTGCAATACTTCCTAGTGAGCTCTACTGGTGGTTGGTAAGCTTGGCCAGGGTTCTGTTTCATCCATTAATGTAACATATTACTGATAACAATAATAAAAGAAAATACCATTCATCTTACATTCAAAGACAAATATACTGTCATACCCTAAGTAAAACTCCCCCACATTGATGTATGAAGAAACTATTGCGACTTCCAAAGAAAATAATCAAAATCCCCTTCTCCATACAGACTGTAAAACCTGAGCTTTCTCCATAGGATCAATGGAATGTACACCCAAACCCCCCCCCCCCACCCCCCCACCCCCCCCCTTGCTCCCCACCAAAAAAAAAAAACTGCATCTTGAATACAGGGGAATAGAAATAATTCAAATTACCAAAAAAACAACAGATGTTATACCTCTTGTAGTTCAGAAACAACGAAGAAGACGGAGTTAATGTCAAGGGTGTCATAGAGGCGTATTCTCCGGAGTTCTCTACTCTGTGGTTGAGGTACATTGACATCAGGAGTAGTGTTTAAACCTCTTGGAAAACTCAGAATTTCAGACCAGTATCTAACATATCGTCGCTGGCTTGGGATTGAAACCTGTTAAAACAGAATAAAAAACAAATTTCTTTTTCATTAAAAATCACCGTCATGAATCAAAGAAAATGGCACCAAAATTATTTCCAGAAATAAGAAAATTATTCTACAAATGGAGAAAATATTACATTAGTGATTCATTCTATCATTAGCATTGCAAAACCAACAAAAACCCAAATGGAAATTACTGGGCACCCTTTTGGCCATCATATACTGACTTTACAGGTATTCAAATTCATTTCAAAATTTTAATTGCTTCGTTTTTCTACATGTAAAATCTAGCTAAAATTCAGCTAAATATTCAAAAGGTTTCTGAAATCCGGAGTCATTTCCTATTTTTAACTTCAATAAAAATCCTTTTTCAAATGAATTCCAGTAGAACTTGGATACAAAAATCAACAGGGGTTTCCAACCTATGATCCACAAAGCCTTAAACATCAGACCTTTTTATTTATACTTAGATGCATATATCAATAACACATTAACTTTTTTGCTACAATTTAGAGAATATAATTCTTGAAGAAAAACTTACCCCTTCATTATTCGTGGTTCTTCTATCAGCATACAACTGAAGTGCATTATCAGCTGACATGCCAGTGAAAACCAAGTACGAGCATACCATCAAGCCTGTCCGACCTTTGCCTGCCTGCAAAAGAATCACATGAACCAGGGAAGCCAGGGTTAGAATGACTCATTTTTTTATTATTATTGTTATTATTTTCCTTTTTTTCTATATGTAGGTTAGCATGATCCTAATTTGACCACCCAAAATATATCAATTTCTTCTTTTATATTTTTGTTATAGTTGTAACTTGCTTCCTTTTTATTTTATTCAAGAGGTTCACAAAAATAAACGTTTTGAAAATATCTCAATAAACTAAATGTAATTATAAAATCATTGAAAATCCCCCAACACAATACTTGTTATGAAACTACTAATTTAGCAGGCTGACTAACTCAAATGGTCTATTCCAGCAAATGAGCACAGCTGACTCATGATCTAGTTTGGCTTGAACCATATCAAACCAAATGGTCAAAGCTTGCTTGTAGTAACACCAATATAAAGCCATGCATCATGGCATTGATATGACATAATGCAGTTATGATAAAATAGCATTGATATAGAGTGATAACATCATAACATGACTTTATAACATACCCCATAAACAATGTCATGATTCGACAAACCACTGATGTAAATGTAATTTCATGACTGAAATCATCATTAA